TAAATAAATAAATAAATAAATAAATAAATAAATATTTTTTGCTGATTTTGCTGCAAGAAAAATTAATAAGGCTACCGTCCGTCCTTCCATCTCTGAGTGGTGTTATATATTTGAATATACATCGGTTATGATATGAGCCCCTCACAGGCTGTAATGCAACCCAATTACAACTATATAGGAAAGCAAAGAATTAAACACATGTAAAGGAAATAACTTGGCTATAGATAACAGAATAATACTTGAAAGAGGGTGCCAAACCAATGATCACCAGTTAAGTTGCCCAATTTGCAAGATAACAAAAGAGCTTCTTAAAAAATCCATCACTTTTCTTTTATTATCTTTCTTTTCCTGAGCTATCCACCTTACTACTGAGCTTTTCTTTTAAAAAAAAATAAATCAGTTCACTGGAGAACTGGTGAAATTTTGGAGATTTTTTTGTATTATTTTTAATTTAGACCCAGTCAATGCAATAACAAGTCTTTTGCAGTACTTGTTCATTTCGGCTATTTGGGAGTGAGGTGAAATCTCCCTACCTGAAGTGATAGCAAAAATGATGAAATGGTACACCAGTGAACCATTTTTAAAGTAGTAAAGTGGGTAGCTCAGGGGAAAAAAAATAGTAATTTAAGAAAATGTATAGTATTCTGAAAGAACGTTACAAAACTGACAAGAACAATAATATTCTGCATGGAAATGCCACCATAATTTTCATTTTTAAAAAATCCCTATTTTATTGAGAAGTCTAACCGTAGTTTTTTCTGTGTTCTGGTTCCTTAGCATATAAATGAATGGATTCAACATAGATGTCCCTATCTCATACAAGAAAGAAACAAAGATTGTTTTGGGGGTTGAGTAAGCAGAGGCAAGCTGGAAATAAAGGCAACTAATGCTACCATAAAACAAGATCACCACAGTCAGATTAGAAGTGCAGAGTGAAACCATGGAAACTTCGTTCTGTTTTCTCTGTTCTTATTTTCTTAAAAAAGCTCTCATCCTGCCAAGAAGTCTTACTATTGCTGACTTTACCTCCTGGTTCCTTAGTGTATAGATGAAGGGGTTCAGCATTGGTATCACCATTCCATATAAGAGAGAGATAAAAGTGCCTTTTTGGGCTGAGTAAGCAGAGGCAGGCTGGAAATAAAGGCAACTGATAGTGCTGTAGAACAAGATCACCACAGTCAGATGTGAGCCACAAGTGGAGATTGCTTTGTATTTCCCAGCTGTTGAGGGAATTTTTATGATTGTGGAGAATATTAGTGCATAGGAGATAATGATGATGGCTAAAGGCCCCAGCAGATCCACCGCCCCCTCCGTCTGTGCCAAGATCTTTATGAATCTTGTATCAGAACAGGAGAATTCCAGGAGAGGATAGACATCACAGAAAAGATAGGGGATCTCCACAGAGGTGCAGAAAGAAAGGCGTGATATCAGAAGTGTGTAGAGTAAAGAGTGGAGACTAGAAATGATCCAGGATCCAGAAACCAAAAAGAGGCAGCACTTGTGGCTCATCGCAGTGATGTAATGCAGTGGGTGACAGATAGCCACGTAGCGATCATAAGCCATGCAGGCGAGGAGGAAGTTATCTGTGTTACCAGAGGTGAGAAAGAAATACATCTGAATTAAGCACCCACTGAAGGTGATGGTCTGAGTCTGAGACATCTGATTTATCAGGATCTTAGGAACAGTAGTGGAAATAAAAATGATGTCAGCCAGGGAGAGCTGGCTCAGGAAGAAGTACATTGGAGCCTGAAGGAGATGGTTGTCCAAGCAGACAAGCAAGACAATGAGGAAATTCCCTAGTAGTGTCAACAAGTAGATGAACAGAAAAAGCAAGAAGAAGAGACTCTGGTGTTCAGGTCTACTGGAGATCATCAAAAGGATTATTTCCGAGTTGTCTGTCTGGTTCTGATTGGCCATTTCACAGCTGTAAAAAGGAATGAAAGAGATGAATATGTGATTTAACTACACCCTCCCCTTTGATCTAAATATAGGTATACATGATTATTTTACCCCTAATGCAGGTCTCAATTTGGTTGGTTTTGCTTCTTTTCCATTGGCCCTATTTACTTTTGGGGTGATGTGACAGTGCTGCACACACACATACACATGTACAAACACACGCACACATAGGTACACGGCCCACAAATTTAAGCCTGTATACTCTTCCTTTTACAGAATGTATCTCAATTATCCACAAGATTCCAAGCACATCTATGGATATAATTACCCAATAACAGTGATTCACTGCATCATAAATGGACAATTTCAACAAATGGATTTAGCAGTCCTCTGAGTTTTAGATGTCAGCAAGACCTGAACTTTTCTTTTTGGGAAAATTTTGATGACGCAGCGGACTTTCTTGGAGTCAAGGCAATTAAGGAGTGTTGTTGAAAAGCCTGATCTAAAATCAACATGATCTATCTTGATTTGATAGTGTCATCATATTTATTCTTTCCTTTCCAACCTTTCTAGTAAACTTTTTTCAACAAACTCAATTTAGAAAGATGCTAACCACTTTCCATATGTTAAACCGCTAATCCATGTCAAGGAGTAATACCAGCAAACTTCAGCAGAAAAACAGATACTTTCTAATTAATGCGCTTACCTGCATTTCCTGTTCCTGTAATTGTATTTATATCTTTTGTTGATATTCCGCTTAGAAACAATGTGATGTTTGTTTATTTACTATTGTTTGTTATTGACTTGGAAAAACATGAATCCATTAAATATATCAGCTTAACATATTAAATTATACATATTTACAATGAAAGAGCATTTTTTGCATATTTTCCACAATTTTTCATGTACCTTCTGAGGATTTCTACCATTGTTGGTCTGATTTTAAAAAATGGATAAACATGTTGCATATGAATCACATTTTGCCTGATTCCTAATTACTTGATGAAATGTAAAAGTAGTTCTTCCCAAGAATGCAATGTTTTCATATATCTTCATATATCAATAATCCAAATTTGCCCTTCCAAGTTCTTCCAAACGTATCACATGGTGACCTACCAACAATCTATATTTGAAAATCATAGATTATGTATTTATTTACAGGGTTTATATGCTACCCTACCAACTCTCAGCAGTGTGCCACTCCCCAGTACGTAACTGGGATTACAAACATGCAATCAAATAAAACAGTAGCTAAAAATATTCCTATGGAACCAGAAGTTACAGATAGAGGTATTAGCACTAACCAAAGGAACACAGTCTCATCACCAAGAGGGCATTACAACATTCTAAGCTTGATGGAACAATCAGCTTTTCTCTGGCTTCATAAAAGCCAGCAGGGAAGATATTAACTGTACATTATTCCTAAGTATTATTAGGATTATTATTCCTAAGGATGATAATTTTGAGTGGACTCAAGTAGTGCTAACTAAGGAGTCATCTCACTTTCCATGACCTTGCTTCCTTGAAACCCTCTTAAGTTATTTGATGTTCACCATGAATGGAAAGATATTCCGTTAGTCCATCATACCCTCATAC